CTTAAGAAAAGTACTATAATGACGAAAAAGCTCTTTAAGATACAGTGGATTAACTCACCTCTTGAAATCCACCTAGACCAGTCACCACAACATTTGGACGGAATCTTTCCATTGTAACTGGCGATGGGAGTTCGTCATTTACTGCCACTAAAGATGCCTCATTTGCAATCATGTATGGAGCAAAATTTCCAAATGACACCTTGAAGACAAATCGCATCGTCTTTAACCTTTCCAAGTTATCAGAAAAGGGCAGTCACATGACTATTGTGAACAAACTCTTGTAAATTCAAAATTTATTCAATAGGAGTGGATCCAATGAAAAGGCACTATTTATAACAGGAAAGTGATAAATAGTGATTGTACTGCAGAATAACCAGAGCATAATTCCAGTTCCAAATGGGACCAATTTATTACCTTATTTTTACAGTTTCTAAGCGTGAAAAAAATAGAAATGAAATATTTATTTGGCAAGTCCAATAGAATAATCCAACCACTCCCTCTGTGTGGGAAATACCTGGTCCAATGTTAACAGCCCAGTATTTTGTGAGGTTACTGAGAAAATAGTTATAATCATAATATTTCATTGTCCAGGGTAGAGGTTATGGTTATGAAGTCTGGCAAACGTCAAAGGAGCGAGCACAGATGCAAAGGTTTTTGTTGGAAGGTCCATGATTGTACCCAGCCTTGTGTCTTGTGTTCATACAGCATGCATAAATTATGTTAACGAAACGTTTCTTTTGGATTGTTCCTAAGTCAGAAGTTAACAACTATTGTGTGTTGTGCATAGTCAAGGCCAAACAAAGCAAACAGAGACAAAGAACAAAGATTCTGTCAATCTTCACAGCCATTCCCCTCTATTGCTATGGCTAACTTAAGGTAAAAGACCTTGAACAAAAACACCATGCAATGAGCAAAGCCAGCACTAGAGCTTCATCTAGAGCCAGTAACAGGTCAGCATGTTTTGCATGTCTGGAATACTTAATTACTAATTTTTCAGTAGCATCATTGAATGTACCTTGTCATCTGGTAGCCCAACATCGCCCCACTTTTCATCCTCACACATGTTACTCTAGGTTGAGACAGTTGATACATGTTATAGCCAGGTTTATTCAGATAACTTGAGAACCACTGTGCTGCCTTATCTCCAACATATTGACCTTCTCCATACATCCTCCAGACCCTGAGCATTCAAGGGAAAATGTCAATAGCAAGTGTGACACCAGTTGGTGCCCTTGCTGCCATAATGAAAACCTGTACACTGTCTGTGTTCTTATAATATCAATATAATTATTCCCAGTACCAATTGGTAGATGTAAGACTCACCGAATCCTCTTGTATTCTTTTTTATCTACTTTCAACTCTAGGTCCACTTTCAATGTCTCCATTCCAGGAGCATTAAGGCAAAGATATTTACCATCCTCAAAATGTGGAACAACCAGAACTAGCTTTGGATCTTTACGCTGAGAAACAAAAGCATCATTCTCATATAGGAGAACCCAGCGCCTTTTAAACAAGGAAAAATTCTTAGTAGCAATATATCAAAGTATCCAAGAAATGCAATGGCTTCCTTGCTGTTCAAAATGCCAGAGGCGTACGCAATTCAAAACTCCTCAATAGGGGAGGGAGCGGGGGGGGGGGTGCGGATATAAATGGAATGGCCCAATGATGACCTGGTTGAGTATCAGTCGGAGTACAAAGGCAAAGAATGGACGTTTCGTCCCATGGGGGGATAACTTCAATATTTAAAAACAGAAGAAATAACCTCTTGAAGATGCTTTGAGTATTGAATAAGTCTTACCTATCATACTCCATTCCTTCTTTGAAGCATTTCACATCGTCCACACGAATTCCTTTGCAGGATTTGACAGGGTAAATGAACAGGTCTGAAACTCTCCCCACCTCCTTGTAAGATCGTTTTCTCTCATTCCTTTCCAACCGCAGTGCAGCAAGACCCACAAAAGCCACAACAGGTAAACCGATCAAGAAATACTTCGAATAAGAGAAGGAGGCCATCGGCGAACTTTACGGGATTTGTTTGTTTTTGGCTTGGTGGCCTGGCCAACATCCTACGTGTAGCCCCGCCGCGCCGAATTCCTAGCTCGGGGACTGGGTACGCATTCGTCAGAAAGTAAAACTCGCCTTAATCGGCTCTAAACCACGGTTTCTCCAAGAACCCAGAGGCATCAAAATAACGCAATGCAAACATAAGCCATTTTAATCAAATTATTTTCTACACGTAGCATTTAGAGGAATTTTCGAAGCATTCTCATACATTGTTTTATAAACGGCTAAAATTGTAACGCAATCGCCATTCGCCAACAGCATAATGTCACTTATATTTCTGTCAGTACGCGCGCTGTGATTGGTCAATTTAGCGGGCCGTACTCTCCTATACGGCCCGCTAAAATTTAAAGTTGGTTTTGTTGCCAAACTGTTTCGTGATAAGTGTTCTTAACTTTTATAACAAGTGAAAGTTTAACACTTTCTTATACTCTAAATTATGTAATAAAGCCAGCTAACGACTTAAAAACAGTTTCAAACTGTCTTATTTTGCTTTCGAGGTGAGTCAGAAGTTTGAAGCCTTTCCGAGTCCGCGTGAATAGAAATCGTTTCTGAACCCGTCAGGCACACAGTAGAGATGTAATAAATATCTTACTAACCTCGTTTTCTCGGTCCGCGCTGTAAGTTACGGATCCTCGTTTTTCCCCCTTCGATTTACGACCCGGGCACTTCGCGCTTGGGCCATAAATCGAAGGGGAAAAAAAACTCGGTCCGTAACTTACAGTACGGACCTCGAACTCGGTTAGTAAGAGGTATGTATTAATCGTATTCAGCGTCTGGGCCGCCTGTGTTGTAGTCAAATGACGACAACGTTGGCAGAGGTGCAAAGCAAAGTTTATGTTTCCGATAATGCTAAAAACCAAAACAATTTTCTTAACCGTAATAACAAATAGTGATTTAATTAAGAACTTCCCTGTCCCTCCCAAATTTTTTACAAGAGGCCAACTTCTGAACGCACTAGTAAGCGTTAAAACACGCCTAACAGCTCATTTCCTAACGATGGGGAATGCATGAGTAAATAGCGTAAATGTTATGAGCACGTTTATAAGCTCAAGGCGGTGAATCCACTGAAATAAACTGGAAAAAAAAAATGTAAACTGAGAGAATTTTCAATCTTCGCCTATTGTTAATTAAATCCCTGAACTGGGAGATTCCAATTCACTTCCTGATGAAAAAAGTACCTTTATTCCAGATACATTTACGGTAATAAATAAGACAATAAGAGCTGAAAAGAAATACGTGCATTGGATTGAGAAAGAAGTGACGGTAATGGCTAGTGTGAGATCTCGGCAGAGTTCTCACAGAGTTGTAAGTTAAAAGATCCTTAACCTTTTCTGCTTTTCTTTTAAATGACATATAAAACTTTAAATTATTACTTATCGGAAAACACTGATGGCCATTTTCGAGTTCATCTAGGTGCGAGTGTCCGATCTCCTTTTAGATAATAACACCGGAACTGCGAAACTAATCCTCGCACGAAAACAAGATAAAGCAAAACTAAAATTCGTGTTGCTAAGATATTAATTGGCTAGGACGACAGAGGCCTCTCTGATTGGTCAAGACCCATTCTTAAGTGCGTTTTACGAGAGGGAGCATGAAACTATAACGAAGTCTTACTAGCTCAATGCAAGTGTCTACAGTTAGATTTAAAGTGAATTTATCAAATAACCATAAGTCAACCATGGAAAATAAATAGCTTAACAAAACCTTTTTCATCTGTTTTCTCTAGGGCGAAGAGAGATGTATTGGTAGAATGTAGGTGAGCCTCTGAAGACAGCCATCATTTTAAATTGAATTTTTGATCGGAGAGTTCAGAACTTTGCTTCTTGATGTAAGATGACTGTTGGAAACACCTCATCTACGACAAATCTACCCTACGATATTAGGGAGCTTAATTAAGCGACGACGTCGCCGACGCCGAGGACGCCTAGTCAAAAATGAATTCATATTTTAACAGCGAAATTCGCAATTGTACGCCCATGGCTCTAAAAACATGCTCTAGCTAAATATGCAATGACAGCGAACAATTCAATGCGAACAATTTGCCGTCGTCTTTTGCGTTCTTCAGACTACACCGAATTTTGTCATTTCACGTTGTTGTTTTGCAAAGGACGCCAAAGAAATGTACAAAGATTTATAATGCACGTGCGCAGCTATTGTTTTTCTTATTAAACCTTTTGTTTGGTGACGTTCTCGTTGCCGTCGTCCTCGTAGTTTGCTTAAGCTTCCTATTAACAATTTAAACGGCCCTAACAGCTTAAGAGTGTTGATTATTAATGCATTATCAAGTTTGATAAAAACATTTTTTTTAACAATAACTGTCTAATTTCTCGCGCGCTGATTGGCGCATTTTTATCATCAATAAGAGTACAGACAGATAACATTTTAATTTATGCAAGCTTTCAAGTTCAACTTTCAGCTGTCAAACTGTCAGCTTTTTAACCAATGAGATTTTATGGACTTTTTTAAGTAGTCAATCAAAAAGCGAGAAAAGCTATTGACAATGTTCGCGTCATTTTGAATAAAATTCACTTATCTTTGTTTACGGCAAGTTTACGGCGTCTTTTCCCCTCATTTATTCCCAGCATWTGACCATTTTGGGGTCTTGTTATTGTAAAAAAACAAATTGACGTCAGTTTTTTTATGCGTCTGTCCTCTTATTGATGATAAATTACGTCATAATATTGCCAAAGTTTACTGCGGAACCACTCGCCTGCGGCTCGAGGTTCCAAAGCGACTTTGACAATGTTATGACGCAATTTATCATCAATAAGAGGGCAGACCCATAAAAAAACTGACGTCGATTTATTAAATTGCATACAACACAACATGAAATAAATTAACATGGCAATCAGGAGGATACAGGAAGGGGTGGATGGATGGTGGATAACAGAAACAAATGTTGACCTTTCTACAAGACTTCTTAAACAAATGCGAAATCACAGCAAATGAAATTTATTGCTAAACTCCAGAGGATGTAGCACGACTGCAGATTTGTCAGTTGACTGAGTGAGGCTAAAATAGGGTTGTTTATTTATCGAAGCAAAAACTAAGGAGTAAACGGAGAAGTAAAATCGTCAAAATCTATGCTAATAGACCAATTTCGATATGTTAAAATTCAGCCTAAAATAATAGACCTTAGTACAAGGCTCCGGGGAATAACTACAGGATTTATGGGGTTTATTCCTCAAAGCCTCGTGCTGAGGTCTATTGTTTTAGGCTGAATTTTATTATATCGAAATTAGTCTATTAACTGGATATCGAAACCTCCTTCACGGTTGTGTTTTTCTGTTTTAACGTGATGAATAATAAATGAGTTTGGGACGCCCACTTTTCAAATCCTGGCTAGCAAAAAGCAGGTTAAGCCTGTTTCCCAGTGCTTTCAACAATCACTGACTTCTAAATATATCTTTGAAAATTGTTTTCTGTAAAAAATACAGATTAGCAAGTTACATAAATGTATCTTGGTAACATGAATTCTACAAGGAAACCATTACACTATCCCCTAGCCTTATAACCCCCACCCCATTCCCCTCAGGAGCCATGTGGACTCCAAAGAAAGGTGAGTTGCCATGTCTTGGATCTCTGTCCTCAGGGAGTCTTATTCTGAAATCAATTACAAAGCAAATGTATGATTAAAAGAAACTACGCACAATGTTTTACAACTTGTGCATTCTTTGGCAGAGTGAATTAAATCATAGACAACGTCTGGCTATTGGCTTGTTCACAACTGGAACTACGTAAATACGCTTTTAAGGCAAATTTTCTCTCAAAAATTTATTCAGTTTAAAATATGATTATTTGGGGTGTACAAGGTCAGGGCTTCTTTCATATACAGTATATAGCTTTTAAGTACCATAAATCCTCGAATTAGTGCCCCCCCCCCCCCC